GCCACCTGCTCCACGCGCACGCTTTAATGACAGCTCTTGCACTGAGCTTATGCCCAGGGAGCACAGAGATCGTCGCCTTCCACAAAATACCCAGGCTGTTACTGGATGAGCAGAGGCGCTCCCAGTTGAGAAGTATATTTTGTTGCCTGTCCACCTCCTCCACCTTTAACATGAATATACGGTTTGATACCTTCGTTTTCTCCATCAGCAGGGCCTGGATCCCGTGAACTGACTGACATCGCAAAGCCACATCTTGCACTGCTGAATTTCAGAAGAAACGTGTCTGTCTGAATGCAGCATCTCCGCAGGTCGAGCACCCTCCCTCCCCAGAACCAGCTGCGGTAAGATGGGCTTGGTTGAACGGACGCACCTGAACAAGGCGTGTGTCCTGCCAGGCTCCATTTCGGGTAGGTAAAGGCATATCTCGTCCAGAAGATGACCTGGCCAGAAGTCATTGTCGTTTGACTTGCTCACATGTGCAAACTTCATTTGCATTTTATTCCTTTGAAACTGTCTTAAAAAAAATAAGAGAACAGATAATAATATGTTTTACAGAAATAAAATTCTGCGCAGTTTCACTGCTGCTGCTACAAATGGCAAAAGCAAGACTGACAAGAACCAGCTACCAGAGCTTCCAGGCTCTGGGAAGCTCTGCCAGACCTGTGCCCTTTCTGATAGCTTCAAGGTCAGAGTTAGGAATGGTTTTGTTTGAACACACTGAGATGATGATCCCCAGTATTTCCCCAATGGCATATTCAACCTTCCAACCTTTCAAACTGGGCTGCCAAACGGCCTCTGTGAAGAGAACTTTAATCCAGTTTTCCTTGTGTTAGATCCAAATATTTGCTGCATAAATCGGGTATGCCTGTCATTATGATACATCATTTACATTAGAAATGCCAACTTGCGAAGCTATCTTAAGATCTGATATATTGACCGCCACTGCAGTGTCCAAACACTCTTCAACTGAGACACATAACAAGGGAAGTTGTGCTCTACTTCGCTATATTTTTTTCCCTCTAAAAGTTTCTCCACCAATTCAAACAGCTTGCTCCATTTTTGGAAAGAGAAAGTTCATTGCTGCTTTGGCAGCCCTGGTCTGGTAGGAGGACGGTGGGAGCATGCTGCTTGCTTTCTGCAAAGATTCCTGACGTTTCACTCCAGCACCTCAGTACTGCCTCGGATGCAGTGGGGACCAAGCACAGAGGAGTGACACGCAACAGGGCAGCAGGAGGAGATCCTAAACCCTCTTTGAACAAACCTATTTTCCGCCTCTTTGGCCTGCTTTCTGGATGCAGTTCTTGATCCGGATGTGCTCACAGGCGATGGAGCAGGATCACATGCAGTGGTGTAGGATCCTCCAGGCTGCCTGATCTGCCTTATGTTTCCTCCATCTTTGATGATCTTGTCTCCTGGGTGCAGCAGGGCTGTTGGCAAAGTGCACAGTGAAAAGAAAACAGTCATGCTTCGCCATGCCCAGCGATGGGGTAAGGACAGAAGATGCTGAATGCATTTACCCAAGAAAACCCTTGAATTCTCCTGCTGCCCCAGGCCCGTCTCCTAGCTGACCCTCCCCACTCAATCCAGACCATCTCTGTTCTAGTCTGGGATGCTGCCCAGGAGGGGACACAGCCACAGCGCAAAGGAGGAGGGTTGTGAGGGCCCCAGTAGCACTAATAGAACTTGACAGCCTTGACCAGCTCCACTCAGGGCCCTTCCCACAGGCCCAGGAGCCCCATCTCAGCTCAGCCCTCACCCTTCAGCCCCACTGAGCTATGCAGTAGGTGTAGCGGTCTCTGGCTCAGCCACAGCTGTGTCTGTGCCTGGCCAGGGACCACACTGACCCTGACCCACGGACCAACTTCCCAGCTTGCCCTTGGACCTGCCACATCACCATGAACTTGCCTGACGATGTGGACTCTTCGTTGAACCTGGCTACCAACCCAGGGGCAACAGGACAGGGCCCTGGCTGTCAGGCTCCCGCCCAGCCAGCCATGGTATCACACTGGGCCACTGCTGTGCCCAGACGCCGATCTGTAGTGCCCAGGCACCAATCTGTAGTGCCTTTTGCTATCTCAGCCCTGCTCTGGCCCTAATGGTTGTTTTCTGATCCTAACCAGCAGCATCCCATTGCCCTGCGGGGCTGCAAACATGCTTCAGCAGCAGCCCCTTCTACACGAGCCCTGCTTCTGAGCTTGGGAAGAGGCACAAACATGTCAGATTTGCTACATTCACACCAAGCGTTTGGTCTCTGCTTCACCTTTTTGCAGCACTAGCTCCGTGAGATGACTGTTGTGTTCTCTGCACAGCTTGAGGCTCTTCAGATAGCTCAAGAAGCAATCCCTGTGGTACTGGTCCACCAGTGCTCCCATGTCACCCTCCGCAGTTGACGGCAGGCAATGATCATGAACGGCTGCTTCCCCAGATCTCACCAGACGACACTTTTCTTTCAATTCTAGCCAGCTGTCTTTGCCCTGCAAGTAAAGGACAGGTCCCGGTTAGCACTGCTGGGCAAATGCATCTGTGCACTTGCCAAGATGCTCCAAATAAAGTGTTTTGGGGTGCATGAATCAGTGTTATATTTTTATTTGATCATCTTGCACTGACATTGATAACTGAATAGGACAAAGTGCTTATCAGCATCTTGTGGACAAATCATAGTCCAGTGGGCACATCAACTCAGTGATCAGGAAGACTCCATCCCCAGGCATAAAAATTGTTTCACCATCACCTTTTTCTTGCCATTTACCCATAAAAAATATTAATCTCACCAAAGTGTTCAGAAGCTAAACCAATTTTTTTTAGAGGGCTTGTAACACCTCAGCTGCAAGTCCCATGTGGTCAAGGGACTACTAAGAGGTTAATATTCACAACAGCTCCCAGCCCTTTCCTTTCCAGCTGTACTGTCCTCTAAACCACCCCAGACTCGCCAATACGTGCAGGTGTGCTTGTTTTCCTGCCACACACAGACAGAACCTCCTTCCATCGCCTCCTGTCTCTGAACTCTTTTCCAGTCTCTTCCATTTCATCATAGCTTAGATATCTGCGTTCTGGCTTGGTGGTGACTGGGGGAACTTCTAACAGCATTAACCGTGTTTCAGGTTTTGTAGGAGCACGAGGCTTCATCTCTTTGGCTTTGTCCCTGGCAGAAGCTACAGAGCTGACAGTTGTGCAAGTGGTTTTGTGGAACTGCACTTGTACACCTATGACAGATAAAAAAAAAAAAACCAACCCAAAACCAAAAAGCCCAGAGAAACTGTGTTACCAACTAGCAGAAACACCATGGCTGATCAACATTTAAGACAAAGGGCTTCTGCATTTCATGCAAATTGGAACTCCCAGCAGACTCAGATCTTTGAATGAAAACATCCTTTAGCTTTTGGCCCAGACACAAATACTGCAGACGGCCCCCATCTCCGCTTTGCAGTTTCCCAGTGTTTTGCTGTCCATATTCAGTTCTGTGTTTCATGCTTACAAGGTCTGTTTAATCTGCAAAACGGCTGGTGCAATGCAAGGGCAGCAAAATGCCTTGTATCTCACAGATGTGAGAACTGCAGCTTAGGATGACACAAGTACCCTGAGAAGCCTCCAGGTTTGTGTTAGGTTTTAAGATAACCTCTTCAGAATCTGTGTTTTCCAGCTGCCACCAAAGCTGGAGGAAGGGTCGGCTTTTGACCCACAGGATGATCAATGCTAACTAACAAAATCCAGTACCTTAAACCTCAGGGCTCAGATTTTAAGCCAAACCCCAAAGATTGGATAATCTGTCTCCTGCAGTTGGGGTGACTACAGTATTGCACACCTCCTGGACTCTTCTGCTTTTCCCCGGAGAAGTCTCCTTCTGTCCGCTCTGCTACAGGGCAGTGGCCTCAGGGAACCATATTCTGCATGTAGTTTGATATTTCTTGTCAATAAGGATACAGAGCCGCTTTCCCAGCACAGTGCCCTCCTCTCACCTGTTCTGGTTTCTCTGGATTGTCCTTTCATCATTTCCAGCCACTGCTTTCGACATTCAATCAGATCTTCATTGCTTATAAAATTCCCCCTCTTTGAGGAAGCCAGGAAGATGATCACCATCTCCAGGTCCTTGTCGCTGATGGGAACTTTGGTCTGGCAACCAAAACCAAAATGAGAGTCATTACCAGAACATCAAGGCTTGGCCCAGAGCTAGGAGGGGCAAACTCTGCAGTTGTTCCAGATGCTTTTGCAGGGAAGGATGGCACACAGAAAACCTGGTGAGCTTTACTTGGGTTTATCAAGTACTAACAACTTTACCGGACCTCTGCTGCCTTCTGCAGAGCTCTCAGCTGTTACCATGCCGAACCTCCAAGCCCTCGAGGTTTTGAGAATATACTTTGGCTTAGGCTATAATATCAGATTACATCTGAACTGCTAAACCTGAATAGACCTGAAATTGCTCTTCAGAACTCTAAACTGCTGTAGCCTGTACGGATATGAGCTGACAAGCAGTGCAGTGGGGATGTACATGGGGCTGGTGCGGACAGGTCAATTATCGACACCAGGAGACTTCGTGCCAGTTCATTGCCTACAGTAGGATCCCAACAGCCACGGTACTGAGCAGGGACTCTCTTCAGAGACCATGAGGCAATGGTTTCAGTCCCTCCTGGGACTCGCTCTAGGTGACACCCAGCTTCTCTGCACCTTTCTCTTCCCTTTCCCCTTGATCTTTCCCCAGGGTGACAGCAATTCTGTGAGGTTAAGACAAGAGAAAATGCCCTCTGCTGAAACTCTACCGTTTGCTCCACAGAAACCACTCTGGGTTTCCATGCACGAAAATATGGCAAAGCTGCGGCAGTTCATTCCTTTTCAGTTCCCTACATACCGCTTTGATGACTCGAATGAAGTCTGCTCTCGTGATCTTCCTCCTGTCCATACCAGCCCTCTTGAACAAGTCCACCATCGTCAGCTTCTGCTTGCGCAGGAGGTTATGCCGTGTGACAAGGGCTGAGGGGCAGGGTGCAAGAACAAGGGGAGGGTGACCTCCCTGCCAGGACTGGCCACTCGCTGGTGGTGAGCACTGAAAGAGTGGAAAATACCCCAAGACCACCGTTATCCAGAATCGCCATGCTAGCCGGGGTTGGGGCCATGGCAAGGCCCCAGCAGATGCAGTGCAACGGACCCAAGGACAGAACAGCACCACAGACGCTTACGCCCAGGCTGCGCAACATGGCTGGTTTGCTTTCAGCCCTCCTGTCTGCTCTGCACGCCTTTATTCTTTCCCAGACTCTTTCTTGCTGACTGCTAAGGGAAGGCTTTCCCGTCAGCCATTTCTCTACATCCGCAACGCCCTCCCGCTGAGATCGGAGCTGCTTCCTCTCGTGAACCCAAGCCTCCAGCTTATGTGGGACACCTTCCGCATCGGAGGCGATTTCTGGAGACCTGCGGCTGTCTCCTCCCTCCAGGGGCAGCTGCCAGGCAGGCGGACGGCAGGAGTCTGTGGCCCAGGTTGGCTTGGAAAGGGGAGCAGCTGCTTTTGCCATAGGTGGAACAAAAATAATACGCTGCTTGGATTTGGGTGAGCAAAGCCTGCTTGCTTTTGACCGAGAGCATAGATTCAGGTATCTACGTTTTGGATGATGTGGTTTGAGGCAACGATCCAAGGCTTGACACAGGTCAAACCCTCGCTGGTTGCGCGGTCGCTGTCGGTGACAACAGACTCGCTCGTCACAGCC